ACCCTCTTCATACCCCATTCTACTTGTAGTGCGAATTGACTGGGCAGTAGGTATGACGATTTGGACCAGTTGACTGAAGCTTCTGACAGTGTGGGGTATTCCTGCATGGTTTCTTTTAATGCTGTCAATGCGGTACCTTGTTTTCACAGACCGCAAATAGATCATCCGCCAGTGCTTTTACTCTACATTCCATCGAGTTACCCAGACTTATCCCATGGATCAGCGTATGCTTCCGAATGCGGTTTAGCAGCACTTCCATTTGCAGCACGAACAGGAGCGGCGCTAGTGGACAACCTTGTCCCAGTGATCTCGTCAGTTTGAACGGTGTGGACATGAAGCCGTTGACCATGACCGCTGACGTGGCCAGCGTGTACAGCGCCACGACCCATTTACAGAATCCTTCACCGAAGCCCATGTGCCTGAGTATGGTCATGACGAACGTCCAGCCCACTTTGTCATATGCTTTCTCTAGGTCAATGAGAAGCACCGCCGTGTCCAAGTCCTCTGCTTGTACCACCTCCAAGGTTTCAATAGCTGTAGCAATGTTGTTGAAGATCGATCTTCCTTGGACAAAAGTGCCCTGTTTTTTTCCCACTAGTTCCGGTAGGTAGCGACCAGGCATACCCTTTTTGAGACCACCTCCGGAGGTGGTCTCAAATTACCTTTCTTTTTCTTTTTTCCGTTTTCTCGAATTGAAGAGAATCGTAGAAGAAGAAGCCAGCCTGCCAAACAACCGAAAGTGCGACCAGGTACATTTACTTTGCAGATAAGGCCCAAGCGTTAATTTTTTTTTTCAAACGATCCATCTTATCGTTTGGTCCTCCCCCGTGAATGCAAAGTGTCAGGGTCGCGACTTCGTCCTTTCTGGACGAGGTCCGCCCGTGTGACCACACGGGGACCAAATGCCTCAAAAAAGGCGAACCAAATGCCTCAAATTTTTGAGACTTTTGGTCCCCGTGTGAGTATGCCCTTACTGTCTAGAACATGAAGCATGCTACCTGAATGGCTGCGTCCCCGCGTTTGACGCGGTATAACAGTCGGTGTTCTACGTGAATTCGGTGCTTGGTGCTTTGCGCGAAGTGCGTCGTGAGCCCCAATTTCCTTGAGTTAATAAACCCTTTAGCTTCTCAAAAAAAACAAAAAAATAAAAAAATTTGCGTCGTGAATTTGGTGTGGTACGTGCTTGGTACTTCCGTGAAGCATTGTGGATTCTGTGCTCCATGCTTCGTGCCTCGTCCTTGTTGCTTCGTGGATTCGGTGCTTGGAGCATCGTGAATCCGGTGCGTGGGGCATCGTGGGTTCGTGGTGAATTCCGTGCACGGTGCTGTGCGCTTCATGGTTCGTGAATCATTGGTCCATGCGACTTGGTGCTCCGCGCTCCGTGCTTAGAGCTTCATTGGTCCATGCGACTTGGTGCTCCGGGCTCCGTGCTTAGTGCTTTGGCGCTTCGTACTTTGTGAGTTGGTGTTTTCGTGAATCGGTGCTGCTTGGATCGGTGGTTCGCCCGTGGATCGTGAGTTCCTGCTAAGTGCTCCCACGTGAGCTTCGTCGTGGATTCCTGCTAGAGTGAGTGTTTCTACTTCACCTCGAACCCACACCCCAACCGCTTTTGGAAAAAGCATTAAAAAAACCTTGCATTCCTTCTCTTTTTTG